TGAAGATAAGGGGGGTGGGGGGGGGGGGGCTAACCCATTTAAAACTTTAAAAGTTAACAAAAGAATCTTAAAATCTATTCGATAAAAGACGGGTAGCCAGTGTAAAGATGCCAGAATTGTCCTTATATGGTCATGCTTCCTGGTTCCTGTGAGYAGCCGTGCTGCTGCATTCTGGATCATTTGAAATCGCTGAATCTGCGATTTATCCATCCCTCTARATAAAGAGTTGCAGTAATCCAGACGAGTTGTTATGAAGGCATGGATAAGTCCTTCAAAGTCCTTAAAACAAAAGTAAGATTTAACTTTTGCTAAAAAAATTATAAAATTAAAAAAATTATAGCAAAGGTACATTTAGGTCTGGGTTTCGGTAAGATTTTATCAACACTACTACGCTTATCYATATTGCTTATCAATCCGGTGTTTTAACGGTTCTTATCGATGCTTTTCTTTGGGGATGAAAAACAAAAAAAAAATAGAATATTAATGCTTTTGTTGTGCAACGTTAGAACAAACAATAAAGTCACTTAATTTTATTTGCACATGCAATTTTATCTTGCATTGCATTAACTGCACGTCAGGTCTTTTTACCTTTTTATATGCAAAATGGAGGCAGATGATGTGGGATTTTTTTACATGACAGTCTGYACGTGACAAATTCATATATTTCTTAAATTTCTTTTTCAAATCCAACCCAGTTCTTTTCAGTATGTGGAACTGAATCCGATATATCTGATGTTTTTCAAAGTGACCTCAGCCTGAACGCTCATTCAGCGGATCAATTCACTAACCACGAGTCATGCTGTATAAATCTTTTAGCTCCAGAAGTCCAGTTTCTTCTTTTTCTTCTTTTTTTTTCCCTCCGTGTCCTGGATGACTGATAATTCACAGAAACACACGATAGTAACATTGAGGGGTCACAGACCATTTCTATGCTAAAGTTACATGATTGATATTTTAGTTTTAGCACGTTGCTTCAGTCCAGGAAAAAAAAAGGCTGCTCCAGAGGTCAGAGGCAGGTTCAGAGCACTGAATTAAACAAGCATGTCAGATGATTATTTAATTGGCTCTGATTGAACAACCACTTCAGGATCGACATAAATCCATCTTGCTAGTATCGGCTTCTGCTCTGATGATGAAGATGAGAGCACAGAAGCGGGTCAATTCAGCAGGCAGAAGCTCACTGTATGGCAGGCCGATATAACATTTATTTGGCTTCACCACACTTATATTCTAGTTATCTGAAATTGTTTTATGTCTAAGTTAGACATATTAGTTATTTAGGGTAAAATAATGAAATGTTTTCTTTTATCATTTTGTTTTATTTACTTATTTTTTTAAGTTGGAGATCTTTCTTTTTGTGTGGGGGGGTGGGGGTYGGGGGTGCTATGATGCACTTTACTTGGCATCTGAAAATACATTTCCTCAAAMGTATTTTTAATCTGAAAAGAGCTTCACTGAGTGAGAACTGAGCAGACAGTTTCAGTTTCACTTTCGGTTTTTCACCCAAGAGCCTGCAGGAGTCATGAGCGGGGTGTGTGGGAGGGGGGAGGGGGTGCACTCCGCGATGAGGAGGTTCGGCTTAAAGACACGTCCCAGGGGCGTTTCTGGTACCGAAAGACGTTTCTGGTCCCCACCTGTCGTTTTGCTCCTCAGCATGGCTGCCTAAAAACTCTGCAGGATTTCTCAAACATGCATGAATGAGTCAAAGCAAGGCTTTGGGCATGTTTTTTATGAGAGTATAACATTATAGCATGATATAAAACTCAAAAAAGTTTATTTTACATGATATAGCCACTTTAATATATTTTGACAAGGCAAAATACCTATTTAAGGTATCTCTAATTATATTCTGATTAGTATAAATAACATTAGATTTATCGTTAAGTTGTAGGGAGACTCCAGTTCAAAAAATCTTAAATGTATCTTTAGATATGGGATAGGTTATATACGATTATTTTAATGCAAATTGTAGACTTTTTCATGTTCTGTAAATTGTATTTAAAACAAAGCTGCTGCTGTTGATCATTCTGTTTTCATAAGCCCCGCCTTCAAGGTCAGTAATCTAGGGAAAACACTGGAAAGGTCTAAAAAAAAGTTTTTGAAGATGTTCTTGATAAAACAATTGACTGTTAATAACTCAGTTTAAAATGTTTGCATCTGTTTAATCCGATGTCACATGTTAAATACCTCTGTATAACCATGTTAATATTTTTGTAGTACAAATACGGTACACGTTTTTCTCATTTTGTCAAAATTTGAACATTTTTGTTTCCGGCAGGTAACTTTTCATGTCAAGCAGGTAGCATTCGTTGTCACCTGCCCTGTCAGGGAGGTTAAAAAGAAAAAAAAAATCTTGTTGAACCCTGGTCTTATGTCTCGTGAAGTATGTTGCAGCCTTTAGGGCTGAATTCCACTTCAGTTCAGTATGAAAGTATTTGTTTAAACAAAAGTAAGAATTTACACTCAGATCTCAGAAGTTTATGAAACAGTTGTACTATAATGTCTGTTTCATGTACACTCCATTCAAATCAAACGTCATTCTGTTCTTACATCATGACCTAAAAATCAATTATTATACGTAACTCTGTCACGTTGCCTGTTCAGCAGGCCTAAACTTGTGGAGATGTGATGTAAAAGCTATTCATTTGCTTTTTGTAACTGCAGCATGCTCATGAGTACAGTATAGTTTGCTGTCAGTGATCATTTTTTTGTTATCTTAAAACTCTGACCCCAGGCATTATACTTCACTAGTACTGTTCAGACTTACTTGAACAGCAGATAATCACTCTTTGGCCCAATCTGTCACTGCAGCGCTGATTGAAGCCATGAGCTGAGTCTGAATGACAGAAGATTTATTAAACTATTACCATCGCATATCATTGCTTCAAAAGTGGTGTAAAACCTCAAACACCTAAACAGAGTCATAAAGTTGTCATTCAGCAGACATCGTACCTTGGAAGAAAAAACTTCATCAGAATGTAGTACAGTTCAAAACACTTCCTTTCACCAACAAGCTTTAATTTATTAAAATTCTACTGATGGGAGTTTTTGTACAATTTCCCCTTGCATTTAACTAGAAAGACATGGATAACATTACTTCTAATTGGAGCCTCACAAGTTTCTTCTGTCCTTTTTTTTTAATTCAATTCTCTCTCCTCAGGCACGACCTCCTGCTGTTTCATGGAAGAAGTTGGAAGAAACTCGAGAGTACAAGAATGGCAACATACTTCGAGAATATCAGCTGGAAGGAGTCAACTGGCTTCTCTTCAACTGGTACAACAGGTATCTATCCCAAACACAAATGTTGTGTTTATTGCAATCTTTGGTAATTATTTGCAAACGTAGTCATGAAATGCAGCTAGCTTTGCTGTGTGATGCATTCAAACTGTAATKTAAATAGGAGTATGAATGCTGGAATTGCTAGAAATGAAAATACATATTTTTTTAAAGCATAACAAGGTAACCACATGATGAAACCCATTTGATACTGTATATAATTTAGTGCAAGGTTCGTGCAGGGTCTTAAAAAGTCTTAAAAAGTCTAAAATTTGAAAATCAAAATTTTAGGCCTAAAAAAATCTTAATACCCAGATTTTCATCCAAGGTCTTAAATTTAATTTTGTCAAGTCTTAATTTTTTATTTTCGATCATCCCTGAGAAGTGTAAGAAGCTGCATGAATAAACAGTAAAGCGCCGCAATCAGAGTGATCTGTCTTCATGTTTGCTACCGGTCTTTGTACGCATTAAAATACAAATRCAGTGATAACTGCAGGCAAAAAATGGCACCGTTTACTTCCATGTTTTCAACCTCTTTGCTGCTGCTACCGTGCCCCCCATWCGTCYGCTTGTTCACCTGCCCAAAAAACAAAGAAGTTCAATCATGTCCACTGCTTGTCGTTTAAACATGGTTAAATGTGTTTTCAATGAGACTTGGCTTGATATCAGATATTTTTGCACACTGTTGGAAGCGATCCACAGCAGTAGGTATTGAGGTCTCATAGATATGATCGCTTCATGAAGATAATTTAGTGTTTTTGTATTAAAATTAAATYTTCTTTAATAGCTAAATTGAAAAGGTTTCTATGTTAAAATTTCTTGGACTATGTGAATGTTTCTGTTAATGCATCTGTTTGGTCTTAAATGTCTATCCTAATGGTCTAAAAAGGTCTTAAAAAGTCTTAAATTTAACTTGCTGAAACCTGCATGAAGCCTGATTTAGTGAAACTCCTTGTACCTCTCTCAGGATTCATGCTCTGTMTTTTGTTTTTCAGGCAGAACTGTATTCTGGCAGATGAGATGGGTCTGGGGAAAACCATCCAGTCCATCACTCTGCTCTCAGAGATATATGCTACTGGTATCCAAGGCCCCTTCCTCATTATTGCTCCGCTCTCTACCATCACCAACTGGGAGAGGGAGTTTGCCACTTGGACTCACATGAATGCCATTGTCTACCACGGCAGCCTTGCCAGCCGACAGATGATCCAGCAGTATGAAATGTACTGCAAAGATGACAAGGTGAACTTTTCTGTTATAGTAATTGTATTTGTTTGTCACAGTTCTCGAAGCTTTGTAAGTACAGTTGTCCTTTTTTAAAGGTCATTCAACCTCCAGTCTCCTGTTTGTCAATGTTTTTATATAAGACACTGAACCCTAAATTGTGCCTAAATCCTAACAAATTGCGAAAACAAATTGTGTTTACAGGGACATTTGATCCCAGGTGCTTACAAATTTGATGCACTTATCACAACGTTTGAGATGATTCTGTCCGACTGTCCTGAACTGAGGGAGATCTCCTGGCGTTGTGTGATCATTGATGAAGCTCARCGCCTTAAAAATCGAAACTGCAAGCTGTTGGACAGCTTGAAGATGCTTGATTTGGTGAGAAACTAGAAGGTGYTGCCTTGCATACTTCCAACAGATCATGTGTTGCTGTCCTTTAACGTTTGCTCTACCATTTCCTGCAGGAACACAAAGTGCTGTTGACCGGCACTCCTCTTCAGAACACCGTGGAGGAACTTTTCAGTCTACTTCATTTCCTGGAGCCGGCTCAGTTTCCTTCTGAAATTGAATTTCTTCGAGATTTTGGAGACCTCAAAACTGAGGAGCAGGTATAAAAATTCTGCTTAGACATTAGCATACATCCCTTTATCACATCTACATGGAGTTTCTTCCTCAAGGTAATTGCTGAACAGCTATTTCTGAGCAGCAGTTTGTTTTTTTGTTGTTGTTTTTTTAGGTGCAAAAACTGCAGGCCATTTTGAAACCTATGATGTTGCGCCGTCTTAAAGAGGATGTGGAGAAGAACTTGGCACCCAAACAGGAGACCATTATTGAGGTCAGTCTTATCTCTTAAAACAACTGTACCTCAGAAGGATTACTTTAGCTAATGATGGATTTAATTAATAGTATTAAAACATAGCAGGAATATCAGATTTCAAGAGAGAAAATGCAACGAAACAGAGTGACTACTATTCAAGGAGCTCATAGCAGACTTTTTATTCTCATTAAGCTGCATCTTAAATCATAACATCGCTCCCAGTTGTAAGGTCACTAATAAATGAAACTCATTGTTTCCTGTTAGGTTGAGTTGACTGATATCCAGAAGAAGTACTACCGGGCCATTCTGGAGAGGAACTTCAGCTTCCTAAGTTTAGGGGCCAYTAGCAACAGCAATGTCCCCAATCTGCTCAACACAATGATGGAGCTCCGCAAGTGCTGCAACCACCCCTACCTCATAAATGGTACGGCGTTATTAACTATTGTATGGCATTTTAAACTTTTTGTGTTTAAGTAACTACAGTAGTTATTGTGTATTTTCAGCTAAAGGCCAATTTTGGTGCCATTTTGKCTTTTTGTCCTGTTCAGGTGCAGAAGAGAAGATCATAGCAGAGTTGCGAGAGGTGTACGACCCCCTGGCCCCTGACTTTCATTTGCAGGCTCTAATTCGGTCAGCCGGGAAACTGGTGCTACTTGATAAGTTGCTGCCTCGTCTCAAGGCTGGTGGCCACAAAGTGCTCATCTTTTCCCAGATGGTTCGCTGCTTGGATATTTTGGAGGACTACCTCATCAACAAGAGGTATCAATCGCACTCTTTATATGTATTAAAGCATCGTGAAAAGCTTGTATATGAACTTCTAAAATGATTCTGGTTGTTACAGATACCTTTATGAACGAATCGACGGCAGAGTTCGTGGGAACTTGCGACAGGCTGCAATCGATCGCTTCTGCAAGCCTGACTCGGATCGTTTTGTCTTCCTGCTGTGTACACGTGCAGGTGGTCTGGGCATCAACCTGACTGCTGCTGACACTTGTGTCATATTTGACTCGGACTGGAACCCTCAGAATGACCTGCAGGTACAGTGGTACCTTGACTTAAGAGTGTCCTAACTAACACGTGTTTTGAGACTATATTTTTGCTTTGAGTTGATAGCTAAAATTTGGGTTACGAGCGAACTTCACACGCCCCACCGCTAGATGGCGCCACAAACGCAGGAGTGAACACCACAACAAGTGTTCACGTCTCACTCATTAGCTTTAAGCAGTTAGCTCATGGTTAAAGCATTTGTGTTCCACTCGCAGTTATTTTTTTAAAACTTCATGAACCTGCTTTTGCCAACTATGGGACCAAAAAAAGTGAGAGCAACGGATGGCGCTGAGAAAAAGAAGCGGATGATGTGCATTGAACTGAAGAAAGAAATTATTGAAAAACACGAGAAAGATGTGCGTGTAGTRGACTTAGCAAAGCAGTACGAGCGCAGCACTTCACAGTCTGCATCATATTGAAGCTGTACCTTTTACAGTGTACTTACTTAATAAAACTACTATAGTTCATTGCAGAAAATAAATTCTGTTTTGTATTTTTATTCAATTTTTGTTATTCATAATAATTTTATTGATTTAAAAACGTAACAAAAAATAGCTGTGTTTTTTGGGGGTCCGGAAAAGATTAAGGGCATTTTATTTTATTTCTATGGGGAACACTGATCTGACATACAAGCAATTTGAGTTAAGAGCTCCATCTCAGAACGAATTAAACTTGTAACTCAAGGCACCACTGTACAGTATTTTATTGCAGTCACTAATGTTACATTTATAATTCGGAACAATGCTTCATCCCTTTTTGTTGTTCTTATTCCAGGCCCAAGCCAGGTGTCATCGTATCGGCCAGTCCAAGGCCGTAAAAGTCTACAGACTCATTACCAGGAATTCCTATGAGAGGGAGATGCTGGATAAAGCAAGTCTGAAGCTTGGTCTGGATCGAGCTGTGCTGCAAAGCATGAGTGGCAACAAAGAAAGCAACGTTAATGGGGTAAAAACAAATCTTATCCTAGCTCAAACTGCCATTATAATTAGGTCACACATGTTACATTTCAGTATTTACGATAAGAAATATTTTGTTTAGTCCAGTTTGCATCGCTGATGTAAATTACTTTGTCGCATCGAACAGCTCCAGCAGTTTTCTAAAAAGGAGATCGAGGATCTGTTGAGGAAAGGAGCTTACGCAGCCATCATGGATGAGAATGATGAAGGGAGTCGTTTCTGTGAGGAAGACATTGACCAGATCCTTCAGCGAAGAGCCACCACCATTACTATTGAGAGTGAAGGAAAGGGGTCTACTTTCTCCAAAGCCAGCTTTGTGGCTTCAGAGAACCGTAATGACATTGCCCTCGATGACCCTGAATTCTGGGAGAAGTGGGCCAAAAAGGCAGACATAGACATGGATACCATCAATCAGAAGGTAAAGCTGTGGTGTTTGATTTTAAGGAAGAGCTCTTCAGCTTCACTGCAGTTTTAATTAATAATTTCATGTAAATAATTATTGCAGAGAATATCTAAATAAATGTTTGTTGTTCTTCCTGCAGAACACTCTTGTGATTGACACCCCCAGGATTCGCAAGCAGACACGTCAGTTTTCCACTTTACGTGGCGAAGGTGGAGACCTGTCTGATCTAGACAGCGATGACGAGTATCCACCTGCCAATTCCAGACACTCGCGTTCCTCTCGACGCTCTGACCGTCACAGCGGAGGGGGTTACGGCCGCACCGACTGTTTCCGGGTGGAGAAACACCTGCTTGTTTACGGGTACGAAAATAACACCTGCTTACATTATCTTTTCTACTGTCATCTGTTTGTTTACACTCTTTTTTTCCTCTATTTGATCTTTTAAAGCTGGGGTCGCTGGAGGGATATCTTGTCCCATGCCAGATGTAAGAGGCGTCTGAGTGAACGTGACGTGGAAACCATTTGCCGCGTTATCCTGGTCTTTTGTCTCTTGCATTATCGTGGAGATGAAAACATTAAGAGCTTCATCTGGGAGCTCATCACGCCACCAGAGAACGGCCGTGAACCTCAAACACTACTAAACCACTCTGGTAAGAGGTTACACAAAAAGTTCTCCATTAATTATTTAAAAAGAAACTGATTTCTATGAACAAAAAGTTGCAGCAAAAGGTTTAGTTGACACAAAAACATGTTGTTGTTTTTTACCCCAGGTCTTTCAATCCCTGTTCCAAGAGGTAGGAAGGGTAAGAGGGTAAAAGCCCAGAGTACTTTTGATGTACAGAAGGTCGAGTGGATACGCAAGTACAACCCCGACACTCTGCTGCTTGATGACAGCTACAGAAAGCACCTTAAACATCAGTGCAACAAGTGGGTGAAACGTGATCTGATTTTGTTGCATCTATTCAATTTTATCTGATGATTAAAACTAAAATCTTTGCCTTCTCAGAGTGCTGCTGAGGGTTCGTATGCTCTACTACCTGAAACAGGAAGTTATTGGTGAACATGCAGATGCTGTCTTAAAGGGAGCTCATATCAGGTATCTGATGCTCATTGTTCTTTTAGTGAAGTGTAAACATACTTAGACTCTGTTACTGCAGCTCACTTCGATGCACTTGAAGACAGATTGCAATGCTTTTTTTTTTTCTTTCAGGGATGTTGATATCTGGATGCCAGAGATGGAGCAGCAGGAAGTGCCTGCAGCATGGTGGGAGTCTGATGCAGACCGCTCGCTGCTTGCTGGTGTGTTCAAACATGGTAGGTCTGGTTCTTCTCTACTACTTACTAATGTTCCAACACATTGTCAGGCGGGCTTATGTTGTAAATGAAGGCTCAGTTTGTGTTCTGTGGCTTCTGTTGGGTCTCTGCAGCCTCAATGTTTGAATTTGCCAAGTTTTTTTTTATTTAATTTCATTGAARGAAAACAAGATTGGGGATTCTTGCGGTCAAATTGAGTTTTCTCCACAGGGTAGCTGGACTCTCTTAGATGGGGTGTGAAGTTCAGTTATCCAGGAGAGACTCTGAGTAGAGCTGCTGCTCCTCCACATTGAGAGGAGCCAGTTGATGTGGTTTGGACATCTGGTGCCTCCCATGGAGGTGGATCAGGCATGTCCCACTGGGAGGAGACCCTGAGGCAGACCCAGGACACGCTAGAGAGACTATTTAGTCTCTCGGCTGGCCTGGGAACGCCTTGGAATCCTCCCAGAACAGGGGGCTGGGGAAAGAGCGGTCTGGGCCTCCCTGCTCAAGCTGCTGCCCCCCACGACTCTACTCTAGAGCAAGCAGTAGATAAAGGACGGGTGCACTGATTTTTAAATCTGTTACCAGGTTATGAGATGTACACTACCATGCGGGCTGACCCCTGCCTCTGCTTCCTGGAGAAAGTTGGTCGGCCTGATGATAAGGCCATCGACGCTGAGCAGCACACCGGTGATGCCGAGCTGGGAGATGAGTAAGTTTCACAGCAAAAWTTAGTCGTTTCAAACTGAGTTGAGTCCTCTCAGATCAATAATCCACCATTGCAGTAAGATAACTGCACTTGGTAAGACTTCTTGAAATAATGTAAAATTTTCAAGCTAACAAGATGAATAATTTAACACACTCTGCTAGGGCTGCAGCTAGCGATTATTTTAGTAATCGATTAATCCATCAATTATTCTGACGATTTATCAAGTAATTGGATATAAAAAAATTGTCATGTTCTGCAGTAATTATTTAAGCTTATTTTATGAGAAATATAATTATTTAATATTGTAAAGGGGTAATCTACACCTGCTGATGACTCTGCTGCAATCAAAGTAAAATTACACCTGTTGTATTAATTAATGCATTTTTAACTCTATTCATTTTTATTTATATATGTAAGGTTTGATGAAGCATTCATTAAAAGCACTCTGTCACTGAATCATTTTAACCATCACTGAATCTAAATGCTGTAAATTTATTGTTATGGATTGGAAAAATGAATGTCTTTTTGTTTTCTGTTTTTTGTTAGAAATTTAATAAGTAAAAAGGGTACAATAAACATTTGGGTGTTGCAATTGAGTTTTGTAGAGTTCACTTGTTAATTGTAACAAAAATTATTTTAAGACTGTTGTTAGGTTGATACAGGGCTCCCATTTAGGCAATAAAAAAGTTAGTCTTGACTGCTTAGCTATAAACAAATATGACAGTATAATGAAGGCTAAAATCATAAAAAGCAGCAGCAAATAATTAAAAAAATCAAACTATCTTCTATAAATATTTTTAAACTTGAAACATTTACTCCAAGTATCTCATTTAAACTAAGATAAAAGCATATCAAGATATAAACGTGTTTCAGCTCAAGCTGTCGATCTGTTGCTTTGCTTTTATTTTTATCTGACAAACTTACAGTGAGTCTTGTTTTTAATCACACAACTTACACACTGTTTAATAAAACCCTGCCAGGTCACCATGATTAGTCAGTGCAAATAACATTAGCTTAAATATACCTCCTCCTTGTACATCTGGAACATGACAGATTATCACAGATTTAGGTAACCAAAGGGAACGTGAACGATACCTGTTGACTCCGGACGTGTTCGGTACATGCAGCAGCTGTTTTTGTTCRGGTGCAGAAACATCAAGGATGTGAAGCGTACTGCGCGTTGTCTTTTCTGTTTAGTTTTAAATGTTCCCATGCTTTTTATAGTTTGTCGTTTTCTGAGCGCTTCGTTTCGGCACTCTTCATCTTCTTCTAAAGCTTAATATCGCGCTCAGCAAGCATACAGGCGTGACGCGTRGACAGTGTAACTGTTAGCGGAAGCGCTAACATCGTAGCATTGTGTGTAACACAAATAAAATTCCAGGCGGACAAAAGTGCGCTGATTATAACAGTATGTTTTTTTTTTCCGAAGCTTCGAGGCAGATAAACTTGCCTCGAGGATTTTCTGTAATCGAATTATTGGAGGAATTGTTCCAGCCCTACACTCTGCTCTTGCTTAGTAGATCAGTCTCAAAACAAGATCAAAAATACTTTTTGGCTGGATATATGATTGCAAGACTTGCATGGATATTTTTTGCAGTGTATATTTTTTTCAGTGAGTGGTAGTAATAATAACTTAAAATAATTTGGAGGAGGAGCATGAAGATTGATTAATCTGCAATAAAAGCCACAGTTGATAACCTAATTAAACTTTAACATGAAAGGAGCTAATCCAAGACACTAATGACATTTTTTATCATTTTGAGATTGTTGAAGTTTTCGTGGCCCTCAGCATTTGGGCGGTCGTTTAGTTTGACAAGAATTCATACCATAAATAAAATCAGACACGTATTGACGTTATCTGTGACAKCTTTAAACCTAACATTTTAATAATGATGCTTTATTTCAGCATAAAGTGATATTGTTTGGGGTCCTGTTTTAAGAAGAATGTAAGAATATCTGGGCATGCGTTGTGTAACATTGTTAACAGAGTATACTTACTAATATTATCTAGTAATATACTTTTATTAGAATCAATTGAAAATATGTAAAGAATAAAGCAGAAGAGGGAATAAAGTACTTCTCTTGTTAAACTCCTCTTACTTAAGTTTGCAACAAAAGATTCACAGATTAATAGTTTTCTTTTCAATGAAGTTTCCAATGCTTGGACGATTTGCTGAATATTTGGGATTCAACAAGCTGCTGTTTCATTTATTGTGATTATTTTACACAACACTATTTTAAATTTGCTGTTTAAGAAAATATTTGTTTATTTGCAGACTGTTATGTGTCCATCCAGCTATCAAGTTTAAGAAATTATTTAAAGATTTGCACCCCAGCCTTTAAAAAGTAGAAATACATTAACTGTCAAAACACTGAGGCAGCAATAAATGCTGCTTTTATAAATAAATAAATGAAAATTAATGTTCCATGTCTGTCAATAAACTAAATGTCTACAAAAATATTGCTTAACTTGATATGATTCTCTTCTCTGATTGTGTTTTATTTGTTTTGTTCAGTGTTGATTATGATAAATACTCAGAAGATCCAGAGTTCAAGCCAGCATCAAGACACACCAAAGATCTTTTAGATGAGGTACGGGTCTAAAAATGCATACTTGATTCCTCAGCATAAATTTATTTGGATATATATATTGAATGTTCAGAAACCCTGTGTACTCAGAAATATTAAATTGTATTTTCCCTGAAGCCTGATTCGATGAATGTGGACGATGAGGTTTCTGTAGAAGACAAGATGGCAGTTGTGGTCACAGAAAGCGTAACCAGTCAAAGTGGAGCGTGTGACTGGCCTTCAAGCTCTTCTCTAACGGCACGATTGCGGCGGCTGATCACTGCGTACCAGCGCAGCTACAGGCAGGAGCAGCTGAAGATTGAAGCCGAGGCCAAAGGGGACCGCAGGCGCAGGCGGTGCGAGCAGGCCAGCAAACTAAAGGAAATTGCACGACAGGAGCGACAGCAAAGGTAAATGCTTTGTTTTTATTTACTTTTGCTTTTTTGTACATTTCAAATTTGTCCTCAAAGTTCCTAAAAAAAGGAACATTTTAGCTCAGCCCTGTTAACAATCATGATACGTTTGCTTCAAGGTGGACCCGGAGAGAAGAGTGCGATTTCTATCGTGTGGTGTCGACGTTTGGAGTGGAGAAGATCAAAAAGGAGCCAGGTTTTCAAGAGGGACCAGATCTTGAGTTTGACTGGACTCGTTTCCGTACTTTTGCTCGTCTGGATAAGAAAACTGACGAGAGTCTGAGTCGATACTTCCGCTCCTTTGTTGCCATGTGCCGAAGGGTGTGTCACCTCCGCCCGGGCCGCGGCGAAGGTAAATATTTAATACCCAAAATGTGTTCTGGTCATTTTCCACCAGCTGCAGTAATAAATGATTATTTTATGGATATTTTCACTTTGTAACTCGTGCAGACTGTGAGCTGTCTTGTTTGCTCTCACCGTGTCCAGATCCATCAGACCTTTCCCAAACTGTGGCTCCAATCACCGAGGAACGTGCTTCACGTACTCTTTACCGAATCAGCCTCTTGCGTCGCCTTCGTGAGCGAGTCCTCCCCCACCCCTCCCTGGAGGAGCACCTGCTCCTGGCCCCGCGCAGCTCTGAGCTGCCCGCTTGGTGGAGACTACCAGAGCACGATCATCAGCTGATGCTGGGAGCTTCGCTGCACGGTGTCAGCCGCACCGAGCTCTCCATCTTCTCAGACCCACAGTTCTCTTTCAGCGTGGCCCGGGAACAGTTCATCCAGAGTCAGCAGGCGCTCCCCCCGCCGCCGCCACCCCCGCCGCCGCCACCCCTTGTGACTTTCAGCCAGCCCAAGCCTGAGATGGACTTACCCAGAATGAAAGAGGACGAGAGAGATGAGAGCGTTCATTTGTTCAGGGATGCGATCAGTGCTGAGCTGCAAAGCACACCTTTAAGTCACCAAGGTGTCAAAGTGCAGGGTCCGAGCTGGAGCTTCAAGGGGAGCAAAGACAGAGGAGACAAAACAGAAGGAGGGAGGAAAGGTGAGGGAGGGTCCGATTCAGATTCTGATTCTGATTCAGGATCTTCATCCTCAGAGCGATCAGGTAGCAGTGATGATAGTGGAGACAGTGATGAGGAGGGCCAAGGAGGTAGGTTCATTAACACACAAACAAAAATCCTACAGCAACAAAAACATCTAAAGTTCTACTTTTCTTTCTGTCGCAGCCATGAAGGTGAGAGATGTGGATGAAGAGAATAGTCTCCTCTCAATGACTCTGTCTCAGGACAGCATTCCTCCACCTGATCCCATCAGACTTGACTGGCCAAAGGTAATTCAACCTTTTTATATCAGTGCTGGACACAACAAAAAAGTTTACTTTGTGTCTTTTATTTTATGATGAATGCTCACCTCGAGGGTTTTCTCTGCTCTCCCAGGACCGTGTGCTGATTAACCGCCTGGACAGTTTATGTACTCTTGTACTGACTGGTCAGTGGCCCTCGGGGCGGCGTTACGTACCTGAAGCTCAGCTCAACCCGAGCTCAGAACTGGGGGGAGATGAAATGGCGTACACGAGGGTGATCCGTAAACCCAGCAGCACACCTGTCGGCCTCGGAGCAGAAGGAGAAAATGGAGAATTTACTGTAAAACTCCTCAAGGTGAGAATACAGTGGAAGATTCAAAGAGGCAAACAGAAATAAAATTCTTTGTTTTTGTCTGATAAAATCAGTTTACTTGAATGTGCAGGCTTTTTGTGTACTGATTGTTAGTATTTTATAAGACAGCAACTGAACTTGTCTAAATGAGCATCCTGGTGTTTTAGACTCATTTTCAATAGAAACCTTTGACCAGGTCAGACCTTTATAACACTGATCACATGTGAACCACTGCAGTAATGTTAGGAGACATTCAGACTAAAGTGGTAGGAGAATTTAGCTTCTGATCAGCTGGTTGGAGGAATTTAACTCATCACATTGTCCAAACTCTCCTTGTCCTTGAATAATCTGTAATAATTAGCTGTAGTGTCTGTGTCTTATATTTCACAGCATCTGAGTTACCTTCTTGCACTTTTGTTTATAAATGGTGGATATTTTATTTTTTCTAAGATAAAAGTTTGTTAAACCACACGTAAGTTGTGTAACCACAGAATTATTGTTCCTTAATTTTAACCAGGCAAATCCCGTTGAGATCACAGATGTCTTTTTTTAAAGGTGACCTGGGCCTAAATGCAACCCAACATGCATGTTTTTGGTCTTCAGAGTTTTCAGTCGTGATGCAGTTTCTCATCTGATGAATGACAGTAACTGTGACCTGTTGGTGTGCTTATGTAGAGTAAAGGTTGATCTTTTTTTAGCTGATAAAAATGTAACAAAAGGGAAGGTGGAGCTGTTGGACTTGTCATTTATAATTACTGTTCATGCTGTTGTAATAATTTAAAGTGTTATGTCTTGTGTACAATGTGTGTAGCTTCAGCTGTGGTGTAGTTTAAACCCCTCCTCTCTCTCTCTGTCGTCTGATCAGGAGGAGGGCTTGAAGCTYACTTTCTCTAAGCAGGCCCTGATGCCCAATGGGTCAGGAGGGGAGAGCAGTAGCCGCAAGAAGCGAAAAGACCAAGAGGTACATGTGGTTTTAATTGAACTCTTCTGCAACACACAGTTTGATGTAAAAAAAACAAACAAATTAAATAATTACCCCTGTTTTTTAGCTATCAGATCTAGATGGAGTTGATGCTCTGGAGCGTACCCCTCGACGACGGGACCCTCCCACATGGCTGAAAGAGAACCCAGATTATGAAGTGGAGGGAGACATGTTGGAGGTTAGCTGTTAACYGAATAAACAAGCAATATTTTAGAACCTAACCCTGGTTTTAGGTTTATATTTAAACAATGACAAGGTGATCATTTTTATTTGTAACGTTTTAGCTGCTGGTGAACAGGAGCAAGAGGAAGAGGAGGAGGAGGGCAGATAAAGCCCTCACAGGTACTGAGAAGGTCAAACTTATTAACATGAGGACAGGAAAGAAGGTGAGCCGATGATGCACACATCTAGTTTAGAAGAAAGAGCTGTGCACTGTTTTCTGCTTACTAACATCCAAACACTTCTCCTTAGGTTGGAGCTGCTTTCTGTCCCATGCTGCAGGAGCTGAGGGAATATCTGGAGGAGAATCTTGACATCGCTGTGGCACCCGAGTGGTCCGAAACAGTTCGCAATTCTGTAAGAAGGATATTACAAATATACAATCTACATTCAGATTTGTTGAGAAATACAACTTTACTTCCTGTATAGTTATTTTTTATATGCCAAAATTCTAAAAATTGTTGAAAAACAACCAGAAATATTGATTATTGTATGTGGATCGTAAAGTGAAAAATGTAACTCTGAAAATAATCCATAAAGTTATATACATGGGAGTAAATTTTGGCAGATTTTTTTTTCTAAAGTACTACCCCAGTAGGTTTCAAGTTTTTTTTTTTTCTTTTTCTTTATTTGTATATAACTGAAACATGGTGTTGCCAGAGATAAATCATAATTACTCCCTCTGTCCTCCCACTGTAGTGTGTAGCTAAGCATACGAACAACTACATTAGTTTGTTTTTTCTCTACACTGAAGTCAGAGGAGAAAAAAAAACATCATTTTATTTATTTATTTTTAAATAAAATACTAGTTTTCCACGTTTTTTTAATCATTGGTTGATTCTTATGATTTTTTAATGTATTTTTTTAGGGTTTGTTGCCTGAATCTCTCTTCCACCGGCTGCTGACGGAGCACTCAGATATGCCGAAGAAAAGCCGTCGACGACATCATCACCATCACCACCACCATCATCATCACTACCACACACCAGAGCCCACCCCTGAAGACCCCACCCTGGATGGAGTTGAAGAGGAGACTCTGGTGTCAGATGGAGCCTACATGATGGATGAGGAGGACCTGGAGACGTCCCATCACTTCCTCACCAGTCCGGACTTTGACGTTAAAATGGAGGGGGGCGACAGCCTGTCCCAAGGCGACTATGACAGCTCAGATCAAGAAGCGCTTTTGGACGATGTCATCATAGCACAGAAGGACTCTGACTCTTCATCGAGCTCAGAGGACTGACTGAATCCCACTCTGTAAACTCATCTGACTCGACCCCTTTTCAAAAACAAATCATGTTAATTTTCTATTATGTAACAATATGAATTAATGATGTTTGTTTTGCTACATTTTTTTCATTTGTTTTATTTAGGTGCGTGAGTTCATTTTTTTTTTGTTAGAATTATGTTTTATCTCAATTGTCCTGTTGAACCTCTGACAAAATGTCAAAAAGCTGAGCTTTGTTTTTTTCCCTCCTCTTTCATCTAAACACATAATTTCCATCACATTCCCAAGCGTGACCAAAAGGGGACCTTCGCTGTACAGATACACTTTTCTTATCAAAAAAAAAACTCAAAGCTGGTCCTCAAGTGCTACATGAAACTGGACACGTGTACTGAGCAGAACCAGATCCCACCTTCCCCCTGTGTCTTCTGGTTGTCTTCCCCCCACAGGAGTCTGAACTGAAGGGGATCCCGTGTGTGGATGTACTGTTAGTGTTTTCACTCTGTGGGAGGGGAAAGTGACATATTAGTTACTGAAACTGTGCTAGGAGGATGAATTTATTGTACAAAGTAGAGCTCGTCAGTTGTGTACTATGGTGCAGAGTTGACAGCAGTGAGTCGCTATTCTTGTTTTATGACCTGACTGTATCTGTGATATGAATAACAGCAATCTACAGTGAAAAAACTGACGTGTGCATTGTGATTTTTAAAAGGCAGTAGGAGGCAGATGAAAGGCAGGATTTGTTTAAAGTGTGCCCTAACTGCAACACAGGATGCTGGAAATCCCTTAAATATTCCAGATTTTAAAAATGTCTAAATCTTCAAGGCAGCAACACAACACTTTTTATTACACAAAAAAAGGAAAAATGTGTTTGCAAGACGAGTAACGTTCTTTAAAAAATTCAACCAACTAAAGATAGTCTTTAAGTATTTGATAAATGGTCCATGATTAGGATTTACATCAAGACTGCAATCTTGCAAGATACTACCTGGGAGGGAAAAATCGTGAAATTATCAAAAATCTATTAAGGAAATGGATAAGTGTCGGTGTGTATGACTTTTTCTTTGAGTCAGTTTTGTCACAACCATCACAGAAATTCAGGAAACATGGGAAGAAATCACTTGTGAGGCTAGACTTTAACTTTGCAGTTTATATATCAGTATTATTAAACAGAGAAGAAAAAAGTTCAATGCTTTATTGCTTTTTTAATTAACTAGGATATTTTTTCTAAAAATATGTTTTTATTCCTTTTCAGATTAAACATTCTACTTTATTTGTTGTTTGCTCAATGTGAATATTATATTCAAACCAGCTGTGAAAAAAGACGTCATGAGCATAATTTAAACTGGCTACATTTGATTGTGGAGTTTAAGAATATAGACTGTTTAATCCGAATTCAGTCTATTCCATAAAATACAGAATAAAAAAGTGCAGAAAATGGGTTTTGTATTCTGTGTGAATTGTTTGACAGAAGGCTGCATTCATTGAAAGTGGACATATGTGATCCTAATAATAAATGTAGAGGATTTGATATTGTAAGATAAAACTTAGTGAAACTAACTTTATTATATGGCCAACAACATGTTTTTTTTAAACATTTTGATGGCTTTCGGGGAACGAACCGATTCAATTTTGTGCCGCGGTTTGTTGAAATACTTATTTCCAACGGTACGTGAATGCAGCATGAGTTTCTGCTGTCGACCTGTAGGGGGCAGTAACGGTTCTACACCGTTTGAACATGTTTGTGGCCTTGACCTAACTTCAGCATGTAGAGACTATTAGGCCAAATTTGAGGAGAGCTTTGAAATTATTTACCTGTTATCAGTGTTGTATAAAGTACCTCAAAGTGATACTTGAGTAAAAGTACAAGTATCTTATCATAAAAATATTTTGGTAAAAGTTAAAGTCTTCTCTAAAAATATTACTTGAGTAAAAGTCTTAAAGTATCTGATGTTTTTTGTACTTAAGTATCAAAAGTAAATTTCTGACACAAAATCTACTTAAGTATTAAAAGTAAAAGTATTGAGTAAAAGTGAGCAGTTAGATTTTCCAAAATGACATTAATTGGGAGGTGACTTCTCCAAAAAATATWTTTTCTAACGGTGTGCAGCTGTGATGGGTTGTGTACAAGTTAATAGGGTGTCAGAATGGAATATATTTATACTTCTCATCAAACCACAACTAAATTCACTCTATCCAGGAGATACAATAGTATAGGATAGTATTTTTTAAGTAATAACAACTCGGAATAAAATAGGAGTAACGACTTTCTACTTCTTACCTTTTTAAAAAATGTAGTGAGTAGAAAGTACAGATAACTGTGTAAAAATGTAACGAGTAAAAGTAAAAAGTATGCTGAAAAATAATTACTCAAGTAAAGTACAGATAACCAATATTTCTACTTAAGTACAGTAACAAAGTATTTGTACTTAGTTACTTCACAGCTCTGCCTATTATTGGCTTCACGCTGTCCAATTTAAAATCATTCGTTTTGGGCTTGAAATCCAAAACACTTCAGAAAGGTTGGTTTATGCTCACGGTATGTTATGGGTCGAAGGACTATTAATTAAATTATATAAATTAGGAATTAATGGGAAAATGTTTAGGTGGATAAAAAAACTTCTTATCAAAAATAAGTATATAAGTAAAAATACAAGAACATTCAAAGAAACATGTTATAGAAAATGGAACACCACAGGGAAGTATTGTAAGCCCTTTACTATTCTCTATAATGATGATGTTTTAAAGATGGGATGCACACTTTTTGCAGATGAAGGAACCATCTGGAAAAGAGGTAGAAATGTAAAATTCATTCTGAAAAAAGTACAAGAGGCTATTCTCAAAATAGAAAAATGGGCATTTGAATGGGGATTCAAAATTTCAGTGGAAAAAACAAAAGTAGTGATATCTCGATATTTACAAAGAAATGATTAACAGAAGAGATACAATTAAAATTATACTGTCAAGAAATAGAACGAGTTAAGTACATAAAATATTTAGGAATATGGTTTGATGAAAAAATTAAATGAAATATACACATACGAAAGATTATTGATAAATGTAAAAAAAAGTTTTAAACATCTTGAGATGTTTAGCTGGAAATGAATGGGGAGCAGATATAGTTGCATTTAAACAAATTTATACAGGGTTGATTAGATCAAATATGGATTATGGATGTATAGTTTATGGATCAGCTGCAAAAACACAARTAGAAAAATTGGACATCATACAACACCAAGCTTTAAGAATCTGTACWGGAGCATTTAGAACCACACCGACTGCAGCACTRGAAGTTGAAATGGGAGAAATGCCATTAGCAATAAGAAGAAAACAATTAGCAATAAATTACTGGATCAACCTCAGGTGGATATTTTAAAACCAAGTTGGGAGAAGGAAAGAAAAGATATAAAAAAGCTTTGGATGGGTGATTGGAAAGAAAACAGAGGAAATTCAAGTTAACAAATTAGATGTTAGTCCAATAGTTCCATTACCAATAATACCACCCTGGATTCCACCAGAGGCAATATTTGATAAGACACTCATGGACYGGAAAAAAGATAGAAGATTTATTTTTAATTCATACATGGTACAGGGTTATATTAATAACTATCATAATTATGTGCAGAAATACACAGATGCATCAAAAACAATAACAGAAAAAGTAGGAGTGGCATGCATAATACCCAAATTCAAAATAGAAATAAAGGAAAGAATCACAAATCAAGTATCAGTATACACAGGAGAGATGCTGGCAGTATTGTTGGCAGTGCAGTGGGTAGAAGAGACAAGAACATTAAAAACAATCATCTGTTCAGATTCAAGCTCAACACTTATAAGTTTGCAGAACAGTCAACCWGACAGCCGACRGGACATTTTATTAGAAATACTCCAAACACTATTCAGAATACAAATGATGGGACTAACAGTAAACTTTTTATTGATACCAGCACATAGGAGTCAGAGGGAAAGAAGCAGCAGACAGAGCAGAAAACAAGCTACAAATGATCAAATTAGCCTCACAATATCAATAAGTAAATCAGAAACAAAAACTGAAAGAGCAAAAACACTGGAAGAAGATAACAATGCAAGATGGTTTTATAGGATTCAAAGTGGGAGAAACGAGAACAGYAGGAAGGAACAGAAAAGTAGAAAGATTAATAAGCAGACTGAGATTTGGACACACGGCACTGAACATTGTACAAAATCCAAAAACATGATACGGGTCAATGTGAGCACTGTGGACAAGAAGAAACCAAAGAACACATCATTTTAGTCTGCAGGGAATACTAACAACACAGAAGATGGATGATAGAGGAATTAAGAAAAATCAAAGAAACATTTAATATAATAAATATATTACAAAAATAAACCAGAAGTAAAAGTGTACAAATTGTTTTAACTTTGATTTTTTTAGAAAAACAAAATTAGAACAAAGAATATAAGTAACATAAATTAAAAGTATTTTGATCCACACTCCATATCACTAGGTGGCGGTAATGAACAGCTTCCGTTGTTTGCCAACCGCCATAAAACACCACAGAAGAAGAAGAAGAAAAAGAAGAAGACGAAGAAGAAAGGTCGGGTTATGCTTTTTGAAAGCAGAGCATCAGTGTTTAGCTAGTTCGCGGCTAGCTGCTGTTGATTGTGAAATGAGTTGGGGGTTTGGATGAATTCTAGGTTTTAGAAAGAATAAGAAGTGAGATAGTTTATTTAAAGTAAGCAAGGCTAATATGGATCTTAACTTTTATTCTGGTCTGTCGGACGGACCAAATGTAGATTCGGAGTTTTTGGATACCCAGACATACGGTGACTACTCTGAAAACCACAAGGTTAGTTTTCGTCCACGTGTAATTTGATTAATATAAAATATTTTTCTGCTGTGCGTTGTTAGTTTAATAGTAACGTTCTGTTTTAGTTTTCAGAAGACGGAGCTAGTTATCTCAGCATCAGTGGAGATGGACATCACTTTCTGTCTGCAGAGGTAAGTGCGTTTTAACTTATTCAGTGTAACAAAATATCTGTTCAGATCTGAGAGTTTTTTTTTTAAACCCAACATATTTCTTTATTTTCCGCATACAGCAAACGTTCCACACTCCTAGTCTCGGGGATGAGGTGTTTGAGATCCCTCCAATCTCCCTTGATCCAGACCCAACTCTGGTCATCAGTGAAGCAGTGTCTCACTTCGAGCTGACAGATGGATCAGATGGTACCAGCGGACACTCAGGCTCCCGAAGCCTCGTGAGCAACCTGGTGGTGGAGACCAACGACCCCTCCTTTGCCTCCACCTTTGTGAACTCAGGGTCTCAGGTTCTGGAGCAGCTCCATCTGGGGGCACTGGGCCCAGCTGGAGGAGTGGGACCCCTGCTGAGCTCTTCTGCACTGGTGAGGCTGTGGTGATCTGAAAATTTGGCCTAGGTTGAAATGTTTGTGTGAAAAATGTTGAAACTTGTGGAAATATATTGTGCAGGTTTTTTGTCGTTCATTAAGTCGGTGCAGATAATCTTTGAGCTCAAACTTTTAGTACTTGCATACTTACAATTTAATTCATTACACTAAAAATGCAGCAATTCCAAAACAACAATCACTGTTTTTTTTAGTCTGTTTTTATTTTGAAGTTCAGTTTCTGAA